ATTATTTATCAAGATTATGCAAAATTCCGAGAAGAGCCCTTGGCAGGGTACCTTCCTCATTTATTTCCAAAAAATTCCAACCTAAAATATTCTACTTTTTTTAAATGAGAAGAAATCTACAAAACCATTATTTTCTCCCGGATGGCCTTAATATAACGAAGCTGAAGTACGCAACGTTTATATAAACGATTTTTAAAGAAATAATTTTTTAAAATGAAAAATTCTATAATTTTTTGCTTAAAAAATATTTCTTGTAGTTTTCATTAATCAACAAATTATAAAAAAATATTTTTTAGGCAAAAAATTATAGAATTTTTCATTTTAAAAAATTATTTCTTTAAAAATCGTTTATATAAACGTTGCGTACTTCAGCTTCGTTTAATACAAATCAAAAAATTTTTTTTGTTTCTTAATAACAAATGTATAGAGCTCAAAACTTAATATTTGAGCTCTTCTAAAATTAATTTTTTAAAGAGATATCACACAAAAATGAAGAGGTTTAAAAATTACTTTGGAGTGCCAATAATTAATGAATATTAATGAAATTTTGTACAAACTTACAGTTCATCAACTACTTTAAGCAGAATAAAGAGAAAAATTAATGTAACTTGACACTTTTGAATAAACTCAAATGCGCCAAACAGCCCCGGTCTCCCCTATGTAATATTCTTAAAATTAGAATATATTCTCATTTTAAGAATATTACACATACTAAATTTTAATATAAAATATTCTAAAATTGATCCCAAGTATATGTATTTTAAATTTCAGAATATTTTTTTTTAGATGAAGAGAATATTACTCTTCATATAATACTGAAAAATGGGCCTAAAATATCACAGTAAACTTGGTTGTATCTTTTTCTATTGCAACGTTTTGATGCACATAAGTTATATCAAAAAGAGATCGTTTTGTGTATCATTTTTAGAAATGATACACGAAACGGTCTCATTTTTTGATGCAAAAAATTTAATCAATTTATATCAATCATAACCTAAAATGCATGCGAAAAAATTTGTCGATAAAAACAATATAGCCTAGCTTTTTAGAAGGTAGATGGCAGCACTCATCTATTTTCTTTCTTTAAATTTTTTCTGAATCGTTTTTATAAAAAGCAAAACTGCCATCTACCTTCTAAAAAGCTCGGCTATATTGATTTTATCGACAAATTTTTTCTCATGCATTTTAGGTTATGTTTAGAAGCTGTCACTTTTTAATTATCGAATTGCACATTGTCTTTGATTTTCTGTTATTTTCATTTTCAAATTAAATAGTGAAATGGTCTCCGCAATTGTACTATTACCAAAATATCTGAAAAAAATTCGTTCAATTTTGAGTCGATTCAATTCGGCCATGATTGATATAAATTGATTAAATTTTTTGCATCAAAAAATGAGACCGTTTCGTGTATCATTTCTAAAAATGATACACAAAACGATCTCTTTTTGATATAACTTATGTGCATCAAAACGTTGCAAAGATTTGATGCAATTTTTGGTCTCAATTTGAGACTTTTAGGAAAACTGTGATATTAATTACAAAATATTACTCTTCTTTTAAGAATATTATTCTACTTTTAAGACTATATTAATTTTATTTTAAGAATATTATATGTTCCAACTGTCTAAGAAAAAAAATATTTAATAAGGAGCCAAGATGATATATTCTTAAATTTAAAATATCGTATTTTGCCATTGGATTTTCAAATACGTGATGCTCAAAGAAATTTGAGGTTAGGTTTAGTGATAATTTTACCTTCATAAAAAGTTTCTAATTATAATTATAATTAATAAAAATTACATATGGTTCCTTTGGCAAATATAAAGGATTTTTATCTTCAACAAATGAAATTTCTATAGTGCAGTACTTGCATGTGGTGACATTATTGTAATTTCATTGGCAATTAGATAATTTTGATAGAACCTGGAGATAATTGCCAGTTCTTGGAGTCCAATTCTATTATTATTCAAGAGTAATTATAATGAAAATGAAAGAACACTGAACTCGTAACTTTTAATTAGAATATTCACATTACTTATTGCGAATATAATATATATATATATATATATATATATATATATATTAAGATATGTATAATAAATAATATTAATATAATAAATAATATATACGGGGCATTCCACGTCAAATTTTCAATCAATATTTTCTTCTAACTGAAACATTTTTTTTTTTTATAATCTTTACGAAAAATAAATAATAAAATAAAATTTGAAAATAAAAATTATGAAAGTTACAATTTTTTAAATTTAACTAATTGAAAGAAACAATTTTTGTTATATTTTTAAATTATTAATTGTTACCAGAGGGTGCCAAAGTCAGAAAGTAAAATTGTAATTTTTTGCGGTGCCTTCTATTGTAAATAATCTAATTGAGATTTTTACTTTGGATTTATTTGCAAATTATTTTAAAAAAATGTTTTCTAGCAGACTTATTATTATATAATATTCAAAAATTTAATTATTTATCATTTTTTTTAAAACAAAAATTAAAAAAGAAATTTTTTAAACTTTTGAATTTTTAAATGAAAATTTCACATGGAATGCCCCATATAGGGTGATTCCACGTGAAATGTACCTATGACATTTTAAATTCAGATAAATATATTTTTTTTTCGTTTTTTGAAGAAAAAATGTGATATACATATTTTTTTATTTTTGAATAACTGTCCAAATTTTCGAGTTATGAATTTTTAAAAATCTAATTCTATCAATTAAAAAATTCGTACAAATAAAAATTCGGACACATGAAGATTCGATAACTTAAAAATTCTGACATTAAATAATTCAAATCACTTAAAATTCTGTTGAATGAGAATTTTTGATAAATTAAAATTGGTTTAAATTATATAATTCTTTTTTAAATTTAAAGTTGGATAAAAAAATTTGGTAAAATAAAAATTATGTTAAATAAAAATTCGATACATAAAAATTATGTTAAATAAAATTTCGTTTACAAAGAAATTAACTCAAATGCTAATTTGAAAAATGAAAATTCGTCTAAAATGAAATTCATATACAAATGAAAATTCAAGCTATAATGATTGTTATGGGATATTCATGCGCCCCCTTTTTTTCAGAATGAAAAAAAAATATTTTTCCGAATTTAAAATATCATAGGTATACATTTAACGAGGAATCAACTATATACATATATATATATTTCGTTCTTTGTTGAAAAAATATATATATAAATAAAATATTTGTTATAAAATATACAATAAAATATTTCAATAAAAGCACATTTCTGTTATTCTCGATTTTTGCTTTATTATATATGATCCAATTAAAGAATTTGTTTTTCAAAACATTTTCGAAATACATATATTTTAATAAAATACCTTTACTTCTACAATGATATATGAAATTTATATTACAAAATCACAATTATTTTTCATTATTTCAACTGTTAATTATTTTCTTTTTCAACTTTTCATATTATATTAATATTTGCCTTATATTTTTAATTACATTTAACAATTGAATGACTAAAAATTGTATTAACTTTTGTTTAAATTTAAAAAAAAATTTTATGCATTATATATACGTATTTTATTTTTCCCTATATATATATATAAAAAAAAAATTTTTTTTTTCATAGTTAATTCAAAGAAAATTTTATGTCATTCCATATAGACAAATTTTTGTGCTTCTCTATATACAAAGTCTACTCCTCTACTAACACGTGACTTGTAAGTTAATGGCTGACAATATGTTGACCTTGAAATATATAGAAAGTTGATAGGGTTCTTGAACTATAGTAAATTTGACTAAAGAAAATTTCGCAATTAAAAAAAAAAGAAAAATTGTTATAGTAACTTGTTTAATAAAAAAAAAAAAATTGTTACACTTTCAACTAAAATTATACCTTTTTCAACAAAATTTTTTTTTATTAAAATGTACCCATTTTTAATAAAAAAAAAAAATTTTATAAATAGGAAAAAAATAAAAGTTTCCATTTTACAAGTATATAGAAATAAAAAAAAAAAAAATTTTTTTCCTAAAGAAACTATTGTCTAAGATTAGATTTCTCGGAAATATGTATTTGTGAATTGTATTTTTTTTTTTATCTTTAAAAAAAATAAAAGGAAGGCTTTAAAGTATATATATACGAAAACTAGACGAGTCGCCTATTACACACGCACAAATAATACAGATATAGCAAAGAAATGTGTCTCTGACAAAATGAAATAGTGATAATATTTATTTAAATGTATAATATTATTGTATGGATAAAATGTAAATATTTCTCAATTTTAAATTATATTGTAGAATTATTTTTCCAATCGGGAATTTTTAATTATGAAAATTAAATTAATTAATTAAATTTTAGTTATACAATTTTTTGCAATCCTTTTTTTTTAACTACAACTTTCAATTAATAGTAATATTTAACTATTATTATTATTATTACTATTATTTTTTTTTTATTATTATAATTATTATTATTACTATTATTATTATGTAAAAAACCGGAGACAGTTGTTCGGACCCTAAAAAAAAAAAAAATTTCGTTCCTACGCTCCTGAGGGATCTTCAACTTTTAATACTGTTTAATTATTATTATAAAAAAAGGAAAATCCTAAATAATACATATATATATATATTTAACCATAAATTATTATATCCTAAAAAAAAATTATATATATTCACTGTAATAAAATTTTGTTATATAGTTAAAATACACAAATTTGTCTATTAAAATTCACGTGGACAAAAAATAAGCACTAATTTTGAATTTTATAATTAAACTGTATAAAACAAATTGTATAAATAAATTTATTAAGTTCTTTGAAAATTCAATTTCTTTTTCTAAAATCTATTAAAAAAAAAAAAGAAATTCACCGGCTCATTTCGGTCCTTACATAATACAAGTCCTTTGATTTTAAAGATAATAAGTCAAATGAAAATGTATAATTTTTTTTCCAAATTTTCTAACTAAAACAGTTTTGATATTTAAAAAAAACCAAATAAAATGAAACTTACTTGTTAATATTCAAATAATCTTGGGCAGGATTATTGTTGTAGAATTAAAAATGAAAAAGTGATGACCAAAAGATTAGCGAATATATGACCTCAACGGCCCCGATGCTAAACTAGCAACTACAGCACATGGGTTACAGTTTTGAAGAAGTGTTCGGGGGGTTATAGTATTTCGTCGAATATACACAGCTGCCCCAAGTCACGCCACTCGACTGAACAAAATATTCGCCAATCAGAGCTTAGTTCCAGGGCCGGCATTTTAAACACATCCCATAACTTTAGTGTATATATAGGTGCCTCTATATATATATATATGTGTGTGTGGGCATTGAGGCCTCTCTTCTCTATACACCGTTGCCATGGTAACAAATACATTTTGAACTGCATCCAATACCTTCCTAAATATATAACCATTATGCCTGACCTACCTGAACAAGAAAAAAAAAAAGAAAAAGTAGAATATTGTGTAGAAAAAAAAAATTGAAGAACAATGTTGGAAAAACGCATTTATAAATTTTAGAATGTAAATTATTATTATAGGTACTATGAAGAAAAGTGAAGATGTTCATATGTTGGAATTTTTAGAAGATCATAAATTTCCTTTTTTTTCATATTATTATAATGTTTATGACTAAAATACAATGAAAGTTTTAACGGTATTTTGCAGAAAAAAAAAATCCACACTAATAAGAAAAATAATTATCATAATTTTATAAAAATATTTAACGATTTTATAATTTTAAATAATTTTAGATTTTTTAGGAAATTTTTCTAACAATAAGTTTAGAATTTATGATGCTTGAAGTACGCAACGTTTTTATAAACGAAAAAGAAAAAATAATTAGACAATATCCATTAATTTTGGTTAAAATTAAAGTTATTCGGGTGTATCAGGTTTTTATAAAAGTATTAATAATTTCTTGAAAGTTTTTGCAAATCAAAATTAAAGATAAATTGACATGAAAAAATAATTCTATTTTAATTTTTCGTGAAAACGTTTTTGAAACGTTTCAACGTTTTTTGAAAACGTTGCGGACTTCAGCCTCATAGAATTTTCAGATCTAAAATTAACATTAAATGCGATTTTTTTTACTCCAACTGTGATTTAAAATAATCCCAATAAAAAATTTACTAATGGCGCAGTACTGGCGCAGTACTGTCTGCCAGAGTTGGCACCAGTACTGGTAACCACTACTGATTCAGTACTGGCTGAGTACTGGTAGTTTTGTAATTTATTGTATACGAAAAGAAAGCTTTAACTGTAACAGAGATACTCTCTAAATCTGAATCAGTCATATTTTACTGATTAACAGTAGAAATCTACTAATTGCCATAGCGAGAATTGAACAACTGACAATTAGTAGAAATTTACTGATTCAATTAGTAAAATATCAATTACTGATTGAATCAGTAATATAAATATATGACGGCGGCCACAAAATCTACTGATTTAATAATTAATTTTAAAGGTTATGTTATATACATAAGTTATTTTCTATTGCTTGCATATTCACTAATTATATTAGTAAATTTTAAAAAATAACTGAAACTTCAGTTAAAATTAAAAGTACTGATTGAATCAGTAAAATTTCTGCTGATTCAGATTTAGAGAGTAAGTTTCACTGCAGTACTGAAATCTCCGCTCCAGGTAATTCTTTTTTTTATAGGAAAAAGTGTGTGAAATTTTTAGTAACCCAACACAAATTAAATATTAATTAAATTATTTAACTAACTAATTAATATTTTATTATATATAAAATCGAAAAAACCAAGAGTTTTTATTTTTTATTAAGTATAATATATATATGGGTAAGTCCACGTCAAAAATATTAGAATCTGCAAGTGGTTCTTCGATCCCAGGTGCGAATTGTCGGTCGGGCCAACCATGTGAATGTTCGGTCCGACTTTGGCAGCCGATGGTCGGCCGAACTAGCGAATTGATAACATCCGCCGACCAATGGCTGAGAAAGTTGGACCGACCATTGGTACCAAAGACGGACCATCCATGGACGCCAAAGTTTTGCCGATCATGTCGGCAAACAATGAAGGTCGGCTTCACATTGGTAACCATTGTTGGCCCACCTTTGGTAGAAATGGTTGGACCGACCAATGGCTAAAAGAGTCGGGCCAACTATGGCTGCCAAAGTTAGGCCGACCTTTGGAAAAAATGTAAAAATTATTAATTATATAATTAACATATATTGGGTATAGTTTGAAATTCATCATTTATTTATTCCTTACACATTAACACTTAAGACAATCTTATACATACATACATACATTTTAAAAATATTTATCGCTCGCAAGGATCGAACCCTCAACCTAACGCACCGAAGTCTAACACGCTATCCATTACGCCACGCTTACATGAAAGTCTAAGGACAAAAATGATTTCATAAGCTCCAACTTCAGAAAAATCCAGTTTGTAATTCATGATGAAAAATAAATCAGATAATCATTGTAATTTTTTAGTTAATCCATTTTAGTTAAATAAAATGTCACAAAAATTTTTTATTTTGGCCATGAATGTAAAGAAATTTACTTTACGAATATGATGGTCGGCCCAACTGCGGCCCGACTTTGGCCAGAGTCGGCCCAACCCTTGGAAATTCTAATTTTTGAACTCCGGCTGCCGCAGTTTAACCGACCGTCGGCCCGACTTTGGCCAGAGTCGGCCCGACCATTGGAAATTCTGGATTTTAAACCTTGGTAGCCACAGTCGGCCCAACTTTGGGTGAAAGTAGTAACCAAAGTCGGGACAACTTTGGCTGCCGACGTCTTGGCAGCCGTAGATGTGCCGTCCATGGCCCGACCTACCAACTCTGGCTGCCGACCCTAATTCGCACCTGGGATTTTAATGATACTTGGTAAAATTATAGCTTTATATAAGAGCAATGTGTAAGTAAAAGGAATTTTTAAAATATCTAAAATTGTAGGAGTTATATCACTTTTAATTTTGATACTGCATTTTTTTCTTTCCTTTATATCTCGGTCAATTTTCAACCGATTTTGATGAATCAAAAACGATTTTTTTTAGAAAATTACGTATTTTCAGAAAATTTTAAAATAAAAATAAAATTTTCTTATTTAAATAGAAAAAAGTAAAAAACAAAATTTCTTTTAGATTCTTTTCAATTTCGACCTTTTTTTTTTAATTTTTAATTTTTTAATAATATTCCTTTTTATTTTATCTTTAATTTTAAAAAAATTCATCCTGGAGACTTTTTTAGATCTCGTGATATCGTTCTTTAAATATCCACATCTCAAGAAAACTAGGATCCAGATTTGTGTTTCTACTTTCATTTGTTTTATAATATTATTGTTACAAACTAGAAACTTTCGCGTAATAATGTTTTTATTTTTAAATTACTTGACTAAAACAAGTGAAAATTCAAGCAAATCAATATTTTATTAATAGATTTGAAGCAAAGTTTTTATTTTTTGTATTATTTATAATTTAAAAAAAATTGTAATGAAACCTTAACAATGCAACCTGAAATTGTAGCTGACGTTTTTAGCGCTTTTTTTTAGAGGATTCTAAAACAAATAGTTATTCATAACCATAAAAAATTTCAACAAACAAATGAAAGTAATGATAGAAGCAAGTCCTGCGGTTTTCAAATTGATGAAGACTTATAATACTTAAAGGACGATATCACGAGATCTAAAAAAGTCTCCAGGGTGAATTTTTTTTAAATTAAAGATAAAATAAAAAGGAATATTATTAAAAAATTAAAAATTAAAAAAAAAGGTCGAAATTGAAAAAAATCTAAAAGAAATTTTGTTTTTTACTTTTTTCTATTTAAATAAGAAAATTTTATTTTTATTTTAAAATTTTCTGAAAATACGTAATTTTCTGAAAAAAATCGTTTTTGATTTATCAAAATCGGTTGAAAATTGTCCGAGATATAAAGGAAAGAAAAAAATGCAGTATCAAAATTAAAAGTGATATAACTCCTACAATTTTAGATATTTTAAAAATTCCTTTTACTTACACATTGCTCTTATATAAAGCTATAATTTTACCAAGTATCATTAAAATCGAAGAACCACTTGCAAATTCTGATATTTCTGACGTGGACTTACCCATATTGCAAATTATTATTTAAAAAAATCAAAAAATAAATATAAAAATATATTTATTATAAAACCAAAAGTTTTTATAATATATAAAAACAGTTCAGTAAAAATAAAAATGTTTATAAAATAATTATAATGTATATAATTATACAATTAGCTATTTAATTATTTTATTATTCACTTTAATTATTTGCATCAAAATATATTTTTGAAAATTTTTTTTAACAAAAAAAAATTGTTTTTTAATTTTTAACAAGTGTTGTCATGAAAATTTTTTTAAATTTTTATTTAAAAAATTATTGATTTTTTTATAAAAAATTTTAATTATTTTTAGTTTGATCGTTTAAAAATTTTTTTGGTTTATTGCATATCTGAAAACAATAAAAAAAAACTTGCAAAATGTTTTGGAATTAGTCTCAGGAAATTTTTTGTTTAAATAATTTTACCCACAAAAAAGCAAAATAAAATACCTTTTAATTTTCAAAAATAAAATCAAAGTGAAAAAATTTTTATAAACAAAATGATTCATCAGGTTCACTCTAGAACTTTTTGTAAACTAGTATTAATCAAAAAGAAAATCTATTTGAGCCAGTACTGGCTCAATATCGGCTCAGTACTGGTTTGCCAGTACTGGGAAGGTGGTACTGCACCAGTACTGATACAATGAAAATACCAGTACTGGTTCAGTACAGACTGCCGAGCCTCGGCAGCCAATACTGAACCAGTACTGCGCCAGTAGTTAACTCTGGTATAATACTGAAATTTTTGGTTGGGAAGTTTTTTGAAAATATTGAAAAAATAATTTGGTTAAAGTTATAAACAATGGAAATTTTTATCTATTTTAAATTGAAAAAAAAGAAAATTTTCTTTAGATCCAGGTGACGCACCAAGAGAAAAGAGACCGTAAAGGCAAACAAATTTTGGGTTACGTTAGGGATAGTTTTAGTTTGATTTTACGTTCAATTTGAATTATGTAAAATTAATATTGAATATTTTGGATGTATAATAAAAACATAAATATCAGTGGTTTGTATTCACAGTTAATGTATTTTCAATTCAAAAATCACAAACATAACCTAAAATTTTTTGTCTCTAAAAGGTCTTTATTTTCGTACTCTCTAAATCTGAATTAGTAAAAATATTTACTAATTTACTAATTTTACTAATTTGCTTCTCAATTAGTAAAATTTTACTAATTATTAGTAACTTTCACTAACAATTAGTAAAATTTAACTAATTCTAAAGCAAAAAGTGAGTCACTAATTTAAATTAGTAAACATTTTTAATAATTCAGATTTAAAGCACTAGGAGTTGGGCGTTCGATTTTTCGAGTTAAAAATCAACTCGAAAAAGGAGTTAACCAAAAGAGGAAGGGAGTTCAGTATCAACTCCCTTTTGAGTTATTTTATAATGGAGGATCATATTCTCGAACTCGTATAAGGAGTTGAAGTTGTACTCCCTAATCTGAACTCCCTTTGCTTTAACTCCCCAATGGGTGGGACTTTTATAGCATCTACTGGGGAGTTGAAATTCAACTCCTTTTTTTTTACAGTGTATTTATAATTAACCAAAAATTCACTGCACAGAATTTTTATTTGTTCGAATTTTCATTTGTCCGAAATTGCAAATCGCCAAAAAAAAAAAAAAACAATAGACAGAAAGATTTCGTCGCGTTTTTTAAAATCAACCAATCAAAAATTATCCCTAAAATTTTGATTGATTGAGTTTAAAAATCACGCCCAAATCTTTCTGTCGATTGTTTGTTCGGACATTTTCAATTTCAGAAACATGAAAATTCTATCAATTAGAAATTCTGTTTAATTATTTTTTTTTTATAAAAATTTATATAAAAATTCGAAATTAAAATATATCTCGTGTTTTAATAATGAAAATAATTAAAGATTTTTTTGAATCCATTAATATGATATTTTTAAAATAAAAAAACAAATTAAAAACTTAGGAAATATTGTTTATCAGCCTTTATAATAATATATCTTTTCTATGATATATTTTTAAAAAAATTTTTTCTTTTTTGTCAGTTGTTCGCAAATAAAAAATAATTATAATTTTAAATTCTTTTTTCTGTAGTTTTTTTTTTTAACAAAACTTTTTTGTATTTTATATACTTTGAGGTTATTATTATTTTTTTTAAAGTGTAATGGGCATTCGTTTTTTTTATTTAGTTGAAGAAGGAAAAATGTTCAAAAGAAAAATAAATGATAATTTATTCTATTTAATATTGATAAGTAATTTTTTCACAACACATAGAAAAATATGAAAAATAATATTATACGTGTCGAATAATGCAATATTTGACAATTATCATTTCAAAAAACTATTGTTTAAAATATATATATATATATATATGTAGGAATATCAATTTTAAGACATGCAAAACTTTTTTGTAATTATAAAGAATTTAAAGACACACACTATTTTTTTAAACAAGAAGTTTAAAGAAAAAAAAATCTATTATATTATAAACGTTTCAAATATAAATAAACTAGGAAACATATTTATTCAAGTACAAAATGTGCTTTTTTGTAAAAACATACCAAACAAATAGTTTTTTTTTTGGAAAATTAAAATTTTGATTCTACCTTATTTCTTTTCATTTTATCTTTTTTATTTATTTATTATCAATTTAAGGCCAGGTCCAAGTCGAGTCAGCTGTTCCTTTGAAGTTTCAATGGAACAGCTGACACGACTTGGACCTAGCCTTAATGTTTAATTTCTATATTTATCCAATTGAAATATTTGTGGACTTTAAAAAATCTTATCTCCTCCTGGGATCGAACCTCTGTTTTTAAACTGCGAGTCAGGAGCTTTGACCACTGGACTATCCAACTTTGAAAGAAATTTAAACTAATTGTTCTCTTAACGGCATGTGGGAAACTACCACGTGACCTAGTATGGGAAAATGTGTTTTGCGAAAACCAAACTTTCTCTAAAATGAAAAAATATTTTGGCGTAAAATTTTTAGAATTGATAGATTTTGGTACAATGCACATCGCTGTTCTCCTGAAAAAACATAATTTTGCGTTAAATTATTAAAAAATGAAGTTCAAAAAGTGGCATTTTTAAACGAAAATGAAAACAAAGATGGCGGCGCATACACAGACGTTGCTTGAGTTCGACAGTGCTCCAGTAAACAGCGCCAATTCGAGCGAGTGGTCGCTGAATGAACTATGATAAAATACATTATTTTACTATTTATTGCTTTATTTTTATTATTTTTGCGTCAAATTATAGTAAATGAGTAGAACAGCCATATGCCTTGCACCATCCTAAATCATTTTCTTTAAAATTTTAACCCGAAATCATTTTTTATTTCAGAGAAAGTTTCAAACCACAAAAAAACATGCTTTGCCCACATGGCCTTAAGGCACTAGTTGAGAGCGAATTAAATTATTTGGCTGTTGTAACAAAATTTTGGTTACTCTCTAAATCTGAATTAGTAAAAATGTTTACTAATTTAAATTAGTGACTTACTTTTTGCTTTAGAATTAGTTAAATTTTACACTCAAAAAAATAAGTAGTAGATTTGACTACTTTTTAACTACCCCGTATAGTACAATAGGTCCTCAACTCAATTTTAAAATTTGTATTAACTACTAAAAAGTAGTTAAAATAACTAAGAATGTAGTTGATATAATAAGATTTTAAATAAAAGATGGTGAAATTTTTTTGGCCTATTGGCTTTTTAATAATTATCAATATATATAAAATTTCACATGACGCGTTTCGACACGATTTCGTGTCCTCATCAGATATAAATCTGTAAAAATGGATCATATAATATTATTTTAACTAATTGTATGTATACGACGTTAGTATAAATAATGAATATAAATTCAATTAACATACCATGCGAAAATTAATTATAAATTTGTTTCTTGAAGATTTTTCTGACATGTTATCTTTCGTAGAAAGAATTTCAATAACTGTTTTGACATGACGACAATTTCATAAATATATTAGTTAGTAAATAAAGTTTTTAAATGTTTTTGTATAAAAAATGATGTAGTCTGTAAAGAAATTAAGAATCATCTATCATTTATGATAATTTAAGGTTAATAACATTAAAGTATTTTGTTTTTATCTTATTACCTTGTTTTCATCATATAAATAGTTAAAAGATTTTAAAGAAATATTTAAATAATAACATTTTATAATATTTTTAATTTAATATAAAATTTTTTTTGAAACATTTAATTAATAAATAAGTTAATAAAATATATACTTGAACACATGATTATTTTCATCACGTGTTCAAAAGTGAGGTTATAAATTCTGTCAATTTAAAGGTGACTTCATAAGGAAGAGATATAAAAGGCCAAAGTTGATATATGAAAGGATTCTAAGGTTGTATTGTGAAAAGAAATATTTAAGAATATTGATATTTAAAAGTGATCGTTAATAAGTTGTAAATAAATGACGCTAAGTTTTTCAACATCAGTTTTTAAATTGATTGAATTTCTTTCATTTAAAATGTAAAACATTTCCAATATTAGGCGTTTTCTTAAGTTTTTTTCGCAGTGTAAAATTTTAACATCTTTTGCTGAAAAATTAAAATGATGTTTTTCTTCTGTTGCATGTTTGCATAAGGCTGTTGATGTAGATTTAATAGCTTCTTGGTATTTGTGTTCAGATACTCTAGTTTTCAAATGTCTTGAGGTGTGTCCTATATAGTATGATTCACAATCTTTGCATTTGATTTTGTAAACTAGATTAATTTTTTCGAAATTTGGAAATTGATCTTTAGGTAATTTTAATAAGTTATTTTCAAATTTATTAATTGATTTGAAAACAACCTTAACATCAAATTTTTTAAAAATTCTGATAAAAGTGTGTGAAAGTTTATTTATATAAGGTAGAGATACTACTCTAGAGAAGTCTAAGTTATTTTGTGATGTATTCGTATTTTGAGTCAAATTGGTTTTTTCATAGCTTTCGATTCTTTTGTTAATATATTTATTCAAGAAATTGGTAGGATATCCATTTTCTATCAATGCGTTAAAGACAATATTTATGTTTTCAAGATGGTATTTAGGATGAGAAAGTTTAATAGCTCTATCTATTAGAGAATAAAGAATACCAATTTTTGTGTTAATGTTGTGATGATGCAATATTACGAAAAACAAATTTTTGATGAAATAAATTACAACATTATTTTTTATTACAGATAATCACAACATTAACACAAAAATTGGTATTCTTTATTCTCTAATAGATAGAGCTATTAAACTTTCTCATCCTAAATACCATCTTGAAAACATAAATATTGTCTTTAACGCATTGATAGAAAATGGATATCCTACCAATTTCTTGAATAAATATATTAACAAAAGAATCGAAAGCTATGAAAAAACCAATTTGACTCAAAATACGAATACATCACAAAATAACTTAGACTTCTCTAGAGTAGTATCTCTACCTTATATAAATAAACTTTCACACACTTTTATCAGAATTTTTAAAAAATTTGATGTTAAGGTTGTTTTCAAATCAATTAATAAATTTGAAAATAACTTATTAAAATTACCTAAAGATCAATTTCCAAATTTCGAAAAAATTAATCTAGTTTACAAAATCAAATGCAAAGATTGTGAATCATACTATATAGGACACACCTCAAGACATTTGAAAACTAGAGTATCTGAACACAAATACCAAGAAGCTATTAAATCTACATCAACAGCCTTATGCAAACATGCAACAGAAGAAAAACATCATTTTAATTTTTCAGCAAAAGATGTTAAAATTTTACACTGCGAAAAAAACTTAAGAAAACGCCTAATATTGGAAATGTTTTACATTTTAAATGAAAGAAATTCAATCAATTTAAAAACTGATGTTGAAAAACTTAGCGTCATTTATTTACAACTTATTAACGATCACTTTTAAATATCAATATTCTTAAATATTTCTTTTCACAATACAACCTTAGAATCCTTTCATATATCAACTTTGGCCTTTTATATCTCTTCCTTATGAAGTCACCTTTAAATTGACAGAATTTATAACCTCACTTTTGAACACGTGATGAAAATAATCATGTGTTCAAGTATATATTTTATTAACTTATTTATTAATTAAATGTTTCAAAAAAAATTTTATATTAAATTAAAAATATTATAAAATGTTATTATTTAAATATTTCTTTAAAATCTTTTAACTATTTATATGATGAAAACAAGGTAATAAGATAAAAACAAAATACTTTAATGTTATTAACCTTAAATTATCATAAATGATAGATGATTCTTAATTTCTTTACAGACTACATCATTTTTTATACAAAAACATTTAAAAACTTTATTTACTAACTAATATATTTATGAAATTGTCGTCATGTCAAAACAGTTATTGAAATTCTTTCTACGAAAGATAACATGTCAGAAAAATCTTCAAGAAACAAATTTATAATTAATTTTCGCATGGTATGTTAATTGAATTTATATTCATTATTTATACTAACGTCGTATACATACAATTAGTTAAAATAATATTATATGATCCATTTTTACAGATTTATATCTGATGAGGACACGAAATCGTGTCGAAACGCGTCATGTGAAATTTTATATATATTGATAATTATTAAAAAGCCAATAGGCCAAAAAAATTTCACCATCTTTTATTTAAAATTTTGGCTTCTCAAACTTATTAATAATAAGATTTTGTAGTTAGTTTTAAATTCTAACTACATTTTTAAGTTAATTGTACTACTAATTTTTAACTTTTTAAGAAATAATGAAATTAACTACACAAACATTGTTAAACTAACTAAGAAAGTAATTGTTTTAACTTCTTTTCACTTAACTATACCCAAAGGTAGTTGAAGATTTCGGAAAAATTTTTTTCAGTGTACTAATTGTTAGTAAAAGATACTAATAATTAGTAAAATTTTACTAATTCAAAAGCAAAAAGTAAACCACTAATTTAAATTAGTAAACATTTTTACTAATTCAGATTTAGAGAGTAGGACAATAAACGATCATTTGGTTTCTTAGACCAAACTATTTTCTTGTGTTAACCAAATTTTAGTTGGAATTAAAAAATGTTCAACCAAATAATTTTGTTGGCCTAACCAAATGTTTGGTTAAGATAACTCTACGACTTTGTTTCGTTACAAAAACCAAAATTGCCTAACAAAACGATTTTATTGCAAATACAAAATCTTTTTTTCAGTATATGTTTTAACCAAAATTAATTTTTTTTTCTTTTTACATAGAGCCTATAAAAATACTCATTATTTGTATATTTTAAGTTACAATATAATATTATCGAGAACTTTATTATTCGACCTCAAAATAAAATTTGTTTTCAGTGAGGAAAATTTATTTATATGAGTCATTAAAAAAAAAAAAAAATGATAATATAAGTTTCTTTAGTTTTCATAATTTTCACTAAGTGTAATTTAAACATTTACAACAAGGTCGCACAACCAGTTTCTTGTAATGTTTTTTTCCATATTTGCGCATAAATATTATTATTAATTAAAATTATATTTCAAAATTGAAATTTAAAATGAAAATGATAAAAAAAGATAACATTTAATTAATTAATTAGCATAAGACACAACATTTAAATATTAAATTTTTTTTTTATGTTTTACCACTTTTTTGTATCAAGATTAATTCAGTGTCAAATAAATAGTTCACGGCTAAAAAAAGAAAAATAAAGAAATTCATCAATTAGTACCGAAATACGAAATTTAGTAAATTTATATATTTACATTATAATAAAATGAAAAATACTATCTTAATTTTTTTTTAATTTTAAAACTTTAATTTAATTAAGAATATGAAATTAATAAATTTATCATTCAGTTACAAATTAACTTTCTAAGAATTAATTCACCAATTCACAAAAAAAATTATGAAATTTTAATTAAGTAATTAGGAAAATTAATTAATTTAGGTAAATTAAAAAGTTATAATAGTTAACTAATTAATGTAATTAAAAAATTAGAAATGTTAACTAATTTATGTAAATTAAAAAATTATAAAAATTTACTAATTTATATGTCAATTGAAAAAAAAATTTTAATTTAAAAAAATTAACAAAATTAACAAATTTTCATAAATTACAAAATTATAAATTAAATTTTTAATTTCTATGTCAACGAATTTAAATTAAATTGAATAAAATTTAAAATTCAGTGATTTTTGTCAAAAATGGGAAATTAATTCAATTATTCTTTTTTTTTTCTTCTTCTTCTTTTTTAATTCAATCGCGCCCCTTTAAGCACCATGACCATGAAGATAAACGGTTCAGCACTGAATTTCTAGATCTGCGTCACAAAAGTAGAGAGAAGGAGGAATACGAGAGAATACGAGCGCTACTCAAAGTTTCTGAACCTTACTGGAATTGGTGAAGGAAAATTGCAACATATAATGTGAATCCCTTTTCTCTGTGGCAGGTAGATATAGTAAGATACAATCCACTGTTGAAGGGAGTTGAAATTAAAGAGATAAAAATGGAAAAAAAAAAGATGAAGAATATTACTTTAATCTCAGGTTTTCTTAAATCAAGACGTGGATCTTCAAATTTAATGTTCAAATATTTAAGTTTGCCTGCAGTTGACGACTTGGTATAAATTCTCAAGAACTATTCTTTCAAATACATTTATATATATATATATATCCATTGCATGAAATTAAAAAAAAAAATTGATTTTATATTTTTTTTATTTTTTGATTTTCCAATCCATCGACTTTTTATAACTAGCGCCTCCGACGGCCTTTGGCCGTCTCTATTGCTTCTATTCTTTGTCCATTCAATTTAATTTTCAATTTATGTTTCATAATTTATTACAATTATTTTATTAAATATTTAATAATATTGTTAACAAAATGCAAATAAAAATTTGTCTAAAAATAATAATAATTGTTGAATAATTTTTTTTTTAAACTAAAAACAACTTTTTTATTCAAGGTAATATTATTTTCATAATAATTCAATTTATTACAATTATTTTATTATAATTTAATAAATTTCATTATTTTAAAAAAGCGCGCGCTATTTTGTCTTGGGCCAATGAAGTGATATGAACTAAATGTAGGTTATGTTCGTGTCTGATTAATGCCAGCTGCAAATATTTACAACAAATAAATACTTTGCACGTGTATATTTATTGCAATTAAGTAAGTTATGCAAAATATATATGTGGAACAATAATTTAAGGTGATTTTTATAAAAAGAATATTGATTTAGATGCTCTGGACAGCAAAGTTAATTTTTTCTTACATTCGATTTTTTCGACCATCGAGATATTTCGATACATTTTCATGTACTCTGAATTTCATGCACTGTCTTTTTTAAGAAAGGATAGGTAAGTGTACCAATTACGGCGCGTTCATAAAAAAAATAATTTTTTCCGCGCCGCAATTGAAACATTTTTAAGATTTTCATTGGCTCCAATTTCGTCGGGCAAAGTATCTTCAAAATACACGTATATAATTTTGGTCACCAAAACTGATACAAACTCGCCGCAATAGAAAATTAGGGTATTAGTTTTAATTTTTCAGATTTGTTTAAATAATCGATTTTTATAAAGTTAAATTTTTTTTTATATATTAATAACATAAGTTCAAATATAGTTTATTTAATTCAAAATAAAAATTATTTGGTTCAAGTAAATATTTATTTGATAATAGTCAAATAACCGATTATTATTTGAATCCAGTAAATTTTTTTCAGTCCATCATAAAAAATCGATTTATTTGCAAAATTTTACTATAAATTATTACAAAGTTATTGATGTTTCAAAAATTAAAATATCTTTTTTTTTGGATAATTTTATATTGAAAATTTTTATATAAATTCTGATATATTCTAGAAAAAAGTTATGGTTATTCAAATTTTATTAAGGAATTAATGACTTTTAAAAAAGACAACTTATAAAGTTCGCATTCTACATTATTTTTTTTTCTAATATTATTTTTTAAAATAAATAAAATGAAGTTTTTTTTATCGCATTCATAAGCAACTTTGCAGAACTCTTATCAATTGTTCTTGTTTAATGTAAATTAAAATTATCTTGTCAACATTAAACAATATAATAATACTAAAAAAAAATGTAATGTAAGTTTATAATTAAAAATAATTTATGAATTAATATCCAAGTCGAACCGTTGGAAATTTTTACTATCTCTATTCATTTAATAATAAATTAATGTGCCTGAAATTCTGAACGTGCAAATGAACGAAATATTTTTTTTTTCTATTATTATTAATTCCATATTATTCAAAAATTACTAAAGCAATGAAAATTATTAAATAGTTATCAAATAAAAAAAGAAACTTTTAATATTTAATAAATTATTAATTTACTTTTTTGGATATAGAAAGAAAAATATTTTAGAATAAAATTTGAAGTTACAAAAAAATAGTAAACAAATTCGTTCATTTGAACGTTCAGAACTTCACTCTCTAAATCTGAATTAGTAAAAATGTTTACTAATTTGAATTAGTGACTCACTTTTTGCTTCTGAATTAGTAAAATTTTACTAATTATTAGTAACTTTTACTAACAATTAGTAAAATTAAACTAATTCAGAAGCAAAAAGTGAGTCACTAATTCAAATTAGTAAACATTTTTACTAATTCAGATTTAGAGAGCAGGACACATTTTAAACTAATCAAATCTATAACTGATTTTAAGTTACATTCTTAATTTATGTGAAAAAGTTATTATTTCATTAATTTTTTTTTTATAACAAATAAGAAAATAATAATTTTCAGACAAAATTAACAAAATGACAACAAAAACTATTTATAGTTATATTATAATGAATGCATGAATCAAAAAATAAATGAAATTTCTTGAAGAGAAGAAAAGAACTTTTTTTGAAGAATAATTAAATTTTCTCAGTTAGCTGTGCATAAAAAGAAAAAGGGAAAAATTGAAAATTTTCATGACAATGATATATGAGTAAGAATGCAGGTATACAAGAAGGAATATCATTCAAGAGAAGCTATCCAGCAACTTCTGAGAAAACAATGTAATACATGTACAAAAGATAAGATGGAAATGAGATAAGAAGGTGGCCAATTTCAAATATGTATACAAGAAGAGAAGATATTCTCACTTCACTCTGTGAATCAGAATTAGTGAAAAATCGTTTACTATCAATTTAATTAGTAAGAATTTTTACTAATTTTTTTAGTAAAATTTTTATTTTATTTCATTTATATAGTATAGTTTTTAACGATATTTTATACAAAATCATATTTACACACAGAATGCACTAAAAAAAAATTCATTGGATAAAAATAATTTTTATTTGATCCAAATAAACTATTTTAAAAATTTTAATTAATTAAAATTATTTTATTAATTTATTATCATTAATTTTTTAATTAAATCATTTACTTATCTATTATCTATTAAATCAGTAATATTGAATAAAATAAATATTTACTATACCTAAATATTTTATTAACAAAAAAAATTAAAAACTTTTTTTTAGCATATAAATATAACAATTTAAAAAAAAATAAATTCAATCAAATAAATGTTATAATTGAATCAAATAAATAATTCTTTAAACCAAGTAGTAAAAATATATAATTTGATGGTAAAGTAAATTACTACACACCTACATTATTAATAGTCGGTA